GGGTGGTTACGGTTGATGGTTTCCTGGCCTGTCTGCAGGTGATTCATGAGTAGCCGCGGCGCTCGACGGAGCTTCGGCTCCCGAGAAACAACTCGTGTCATGCGCCCTGACGTGCGGCTCATTCGATGACAAAACATGAAGAGCAAAGACGCGCGGCTCGGGTTGCCAACTTGCCGGCGTGCCATCGAAGGGGGCCGAGTTGGTGTGGCAACCGGTTGACGTCTTTGGCGAGGCTCTAAACACGTCAGAAACATGCTGGCGCGTCCTGGTGTTTCTCTCCTTTGGAGCAGTCAAAATGTATATATATATATATATATAGAGAGAGAGAGAGACACACACACACACACACACACACACACACACACACACACTCACACACACACACTAACTCCACGCCCCACCTCTCCCACCACCACCTGCAGGTGATGTACTGCAGCGCTGAGTGTCGCCAAGCTGCGGCGGATCAGTACCACCGGGCGCTGTGTCTTGGGCCATCCTATGAAGATCCAGACCACCCTGTCAACAAGCTGAAAGATGCCTGGAGGTGATGGGAGTGATTCCTTTCCCTTTAGTCTCAGGAACTCCTTGTGAATTCTATGGTAAACGTTCTGTTCGCCACAGGAGCATGCATTACCCTCCAGAGACTTCCAGCATCATGCTTCTGGCCAGAATGGTCGCCACTGTTCAACAAGTAAGATGATTTTATTTATGGATTTATTTTTTGGAGGTGTTGTAATGTTGTCTCTGCATGCTTTCACAATGACATTCCGGACCTCTTTCACTGGCAACATTAGAGAGGATGTATAATCAATTGATTTGACAAATACAATGCCGAGCAACGGTCTTTGAAGCCTGATAGAATTGATACAGTTGATATAGTCACATTACTAGATAACATATTTTCTAAATAAAATTTACCATAAAATACAAAGTGAACTTCTTATTAATTATCTAAGTGTGACCAATCTGTCTTTGCAATTTTTATATTTATTTTGATTAAAAAAACAAAACAAAACAAAAACACAATGTTTCATTGCTGCTTCTAAGTTAGACCGAGAAAATCAAAACTGGTCTGAGGTCTATTCAAACAAAGACGTAAACCAGGGGTGGGCAATTCCAGTCCTGGAGTTCCGCAATCCTGCATGTTTTCCGTCTCCCTGTTACAACACATCTGATTTAAATGAACAGGTTCAATATCAGGCTTCTGCAAACCTTGCTCATGATTTGATCTAAATCCATTGCTCGAGTTAGTCTTCCAGCTCGGGCCACCTTGCCTTGTTTCCGTGGAAACACAGTTAAGACGGCGAAGCTTGTTCTGCAGCTTCCTCCACTTGCTAACCGTGGATTCGTTTACCTTAAATTATCTCGCGGCTATTTGATTGCCATGTTCCTCTGCGTAACTAATCGCTTGAAGTTTGAACTGTGCCCAGAAGCGTGTCTCTCCATTGGTGCCATTTTCGGGCGTCCGAAATTGTTTTGCCCAATACACAAACCGGCATTATATCCACCTACTGGTGGGTGTGTCTTTAGCATCCAGGATGAAAACCATACTGTATCTCCTGAATCGAAGATTCGACTTCCTGACCGATCCTCTTCTCCAGCACCCCTGAATAGACCTTAATGGGAAGCCTGTGGAATTGCCCTGTAGTTGGAACACACACCTTCCGGACCCCCTTCCTAAAAAGGGGGACCAACTCCCCTGGTCTGCTAGTCCAGAAGCACTGTTCCCAATGTCCATCCGGTGTTGGAGAGGCATGTCAGTCAACCAAGAGGGCTGGCTGCACAACATCCAGAGCCTTGAGGAAATCTGAGCGGATTTCCTCCATCCCGCAGGGCCTTGCCACCGAGGGGCTTTTTAACCACCTCGGCGACTTCAACCCCAGAGATAGGAGAACCTACATCAGAGTTCCCAGACTCTGTTGCTTCAAAGAAAGGCGTGTCAATGGAATTGAAGCTGTCTTTGAAGTAATTTCCCCTCAGCTCCCCTTCTGAGACGCCAGAGCAGAATTTCATTGAAGCCACTCGCACGTTGTTTTCCATGGCCTCACCCAATTCCTCCTGTGACTGAGTTTTTGCCTCGGCGACCGCCAAAGATGTGTTTCAGTTTGGCCATCCGATATCCATCAGCTGCCTCAAGTGTGCCGCAGGCCAAAAAGGCTGGACAGGACTCCTTCTTCAGCATGACGGCATCCACTACGTTGGTGTCCACCAACCGGTTTAGGCACTGATGCCAGGCACCGACCACCTTACAGCCACTGCTCCTGTCGGCCACATTGAAAATAAAGCCGTGGAACATGGTCCACTTGGACTCAATCTCCCCCGTCTTCCCCGGCCGCGACTTGAGTGAAGTTGTGCCAGATGCCAGAAGATGCTCACAATACGTTTGGGTCTGCCATGTTGGACCGGCATCTTCCCCAATCCATCGGAGCCAACACACCACCGGTTGGTGATCAATTGACAGCAGCACCTCTCTCTTCACAGGAGTGCCTCTAGCCGCCGCCCAGGTCACATTGCATCCGATCCCGAAGGCCCCTCTCACAGGTGGTGAGCCCATGAAAAGGGGTGTCTTGTCCAGGGAAATCAAGACAAGTATTATAAAAAATGATGAGATTTATTTGAGAAAAAGCATGGAAAGACACCGTTCACAGATCTGTCAAGGGAGCCTTCTCCTCTCGTCTTGCGCTCTCGTTTTATCTTGTTGGGAGGTGGTGAAGGTCAGCACAATCAGCATTTTGAGCAGCTGCACAGAATGCACACAAGTGCATGAGCAGGCAACTTTGCTTATCCGCAAAATAACTGGTCAGCATTCAAAGGTACGAACAGTTACTTATATTTTTTTGCCCTTTTAGATGTCAAATTCCCATTACAGGGGGACCCCATGTTGTCCTTTCGGGCCGAGCCTGGCCGGGCCCAATGGGTGCAGGCCACCCACCAGTCGCTTGCCTTCAAACCCCACCTCCCGGGAGCCACTAAAATAGAAGATAGCCTTCAAAGCTTCAATGTTATCATCATTTTAAAAAAGTGGCATTAAAAAAAAGTATTGTGTTCCATATTTAATGGTAATTGCCCGGGTTTTAATCATACACTGTAAATTAGTTGTTGTTTTCGGAGGATTAATTGTGGTCTCATTACTCTTTCAGTTGGCCCACCCAAAAATTATCTGCGACGCTTATTTTGTGAATCCCTCCTCTCCGCTCACAAAATGTTTTTAATTTGTGGTCCAGGCCAAAGACAAAGCACACTGGCAGAAGCTCTTCTCGTGCTTCTGCAGTCGCACGGCCAATGAGGAAGACGAGCTGGCCCACAAACTCCTCGGGGAGAAGTTCAGGGTAAATATTCCTCAGCTGCCGGAAAAGGAAAATGCGGAAAATATCGACAACTTGCAACTAAGCAGTAGCTGACCAAAATAATGTTTGTTTTTAGGGTCAGCTGACAGTGCTACAGAGTCTTTTCAAAGAGGCGCTGTATGATGATCAGCTAAGTCGGGTAAACGCAAATATATACACTTGAATCTCATCATAAACATTAAACGGCTACAACAAAAGGTCTGCATATAATATGAGCAGATTTCTGACCCGTTTTCTCACTTCACATCACCCCAAAAGTCTCCTTTCACTCATTGATCTCTTTATTTGGTATATACACCTGCACATTGTAATTCAAAATGCTGCTGAGATCCATTTGGATTTATTTTGACTTATTGACTTGAATATTGATTTGCATATACAGTACATTTTTTTTCTTTTCAATATTATGTTTTGAAATTGTCACGGTTTTTCGTAATTTTTCCCACATTTCCCCCTTTTCTCATGGAAACACATTTTGAAACTTCATCAGCATTTTTGGAAGAATTTTGGGGGTTTGTTAAAAAAATAAATAAAAAATTACATGTTCAAACTTGCCAGTTCTGTTGACTGGGGAATCCTATACAATAAAGTGCACCACCACAAACTCCAAGCCGTAACAATAATAGATAATAATCGATACAAATAGTATGTTTAACTGAACAGACAGCATGGCATGGTTAGATTATCGCTGCAGCTTTTGCGTGAGGTGTGTACGGAATGACATGACCAGTAAATGTTGTATTATTTGTAAAGCTCAATTAATGTATGATTGTAGCATTGTTTGTGTTCCAGTGGTTTGTTCCCGAAGGCTTCCGCTCTCTCTTCGCTCTGGTCGGCACTAACGGACAAGGCATCGGCACAAGGTTGGCTGGTCTTTATTCAACTTGTATTTCCTTTAAAGGTCAAGTGTGAAGTGAACTTGGCCAACCATCTTTTGAGTAATAGTTAGTGCTAAAACTATTTCAAGCATACTTTTCTTCATATTTCAGGTTCATACTCAGACCCATAGCAATGCACTTAACAATGAAAATGCTTTTGTTCAGCAATCTCGGCAAGTGATGTCATCTACAGAATGCCAAATCGTCAGTCGGCTATTGTAACGTATTGTTTTTTCTTGTTAACTGCTCTTTGCCATTGTCATCGAGTTATTCGGCGACGTGCCTCGGCGCTGTGTGGCGATGCACTGTTCACATTCTGGCAAACAGTGTTGTTTGAGTGGCCAAAAGAAAAGAACAGACTAAGCTAAAGCCAGGCCAATGGTTCTTAACCTTGTTGGAGGTACTGAACCCGACCAGTTCAAATGCACATTCATCGAACCGTTCATTAGTGAAAAATAAAAATGTTTTTTTTTTTTTTTTTTTTACAAATGAATTTGTTAAAAACAGAAAAAAGTAAATAACATTTCTCGACATACAGTAAGTACAAGCTTTTTTAATTGTGCACAAAATGAACCGTGCATGACGTACTCACGACAGTCATACGTTGACTACTGAGCAAACTAAATTTCCCACAGCACTGATTGGACGAGCAATGTAATGTAATCATCTGCAGCCAGTGATGGCCAATCGGGCGTATCATAACTAATTTACAAGTTGAGTAGGGTGTGTCTTAACCGCCATGGGAGAGGCTCCGTCGTACCCCTGAGACGGACTCACCGAACCCCTGGGGTTCGATCGAACCCAGGTTAAGAACCACTGAGCTAGGCTAACAACCACAGTCTATATAGCTTACCGGTCTTCCAATCCCGATGGGTTTTGTCTCCACTCCATGTCCGAACTTTCAGCATCTTGAGCACCTGGCTCATACATGTATGGTCCAACATACATCTTGCCAACAACTTGCTCGTCCTCCAACTCTTTGAACACGCGGATCCCCTCAGATAAGCTTTCCAAATCGATTTCTTCACTTCGGTAAAACGATTACTTTGCGACAAAAAACGACATTACAAATTTCCAAAAAAAAAAGATTTTTTTTTCATGCTTTGTTGAATTATTTTACTTGGGACATAAACATATTTCATTTGGGATTTTCTAAAATAACTTCACAATTGACCTTTAAAGAGCATCCGTCACCTTGGTCCTTGATTCAACACGTTTATGCTTTCTGTTCCGTCAGCTCTCTGAGTCAGTGGGTTCACGCCTGCGATGCAGTTGAGCTTCCTGCCCAGCAGAGAGCGCAGTTGGACTCCTTTATCGATCAGTTGTACAAAGACATTGAGAGAGGTGACACTTGCAGTTTTTTGGCTGGATTTAATTGCATGATCCAGTGAACACAGTTCTTATGTTTTATGCTGAAAATAGGATATGAGTCATGCCAGTGTAAGTGCAGCGTCATTCTAACCAGACCACACCAAAATATGCTCATTTAATCCAACTAAAGGCTGAGTAACGTTTGGAGCTGTATGTCTCAAGATGGTTAGTTTTCGTTTTCTGACCTGAAAGGTGTTGGTTTGGTCCTGAGCTGAGTTGGTCCAAGTTAATGCTGGAGAAAAACTGTTTCAAAACATGAAAAGGGGCAATCAAAATCGGGTTTTGGATTTTCGAAAAATATTTTATTTCAAGGCAACATAACCCAGCCCTCAGAAATACGTGAATGGGTAATTGGCAAGTAGGAACCACAGGGTGTAGCGCCCCCCCCTCCCCCCCCTCCAATTAGTCAGTGTGGACACAAAGATTGATGATACTTCTTGTTTCTCTTGCTTACACTGTAGAAACAGGAGACTTTCTAAACAGTGAAGGCTCAGGACTCTTTCTTGTCCAAAGCTCATGTAAGTTACCATGACTTTCATGTTTCTCACTGCAAGCACAAAAGCAAAAGTCATTTTATTGCTTGTTGTTGTTTTTTTTTTTTTTCTCTTCAGGCAATCACAGCTGCGTGCCCAATGCCGAGGCTTCCTTCCCTGACAACAACTTCCTGCTTCACCTCAGTGCCCTCTGCGACATCGATCCAGGCCAGGTCAGCTGATGCCTGGGCTGGGGGTTAAGGGTTAGGGTTCATGCATGCAGTGCTCGAAGGCAGGCACTTACTCATGCGCTTTGCCAAGCTATTTAGCAAAGTCTCCACACATCATGGCTTGCAATTTATTTTGTCTTTGAATCTTTTTCGGAAATGCTGTTTTGCAATGTTTCATATTAGCTTCTTAAGTGTGTGTGTGTGTGTGTGTGTGTGT